AAGACACAAATAATCCGAATAAGAGATGAATCAGAGAGGATGGCACAGGATAAGGCAAGGTTCAGATCCATTGTTTGTGGGGTTTTTGTAAGTGTAGTCAACTCAATGGCACCTAACAACAATATATCTAAAGACAGATATAAATAGCGCCTAACAACAATGTATCTAAAACCAGACACAAATACACTTCACTCCCCAAAAGTTCACTTTACTTTCATGTAAGATTTATATTAATATCTATTATATATACATGCCTTCATATTTATAGAAAAAATGCTATCAGTAATTTGTTTTCAAATAACTGGCGAAAGGGACTGGGCTCTGGATAAAATGTAATCCATCAACATTTAGATATGTTTGCAATTTTCATAGTAAGTTAAAAGCATGTTAGTGGAATGTCAACCAAAAATTCTCATTCAATAGGCCCAGGGAGGACTCTGATGTAGGAAATAAAAGTTTACCAGCAGTCAAACCTTCATACAGGGTCTAAGTGGAGAAAATAAAGACAAGGTGAGACTTGTACCATTCAGAGGCATGAAATAAAAAGGAGAAAAAGACAGGCTAACTTCTAAATTAAAAAAGAAATGGTAAGAACTTAAGTCTAAGAACAGTTCTGCTCATGAGCCACTCCATGAAGACCATCTCCTTGGTCTCCAGGACTCAGAAAAGTTGTTATCTGAGGAGTAAGAGGAGTAAGGTAGAGACCTGAGGCCTGTCCCTGACATTATAAGCTGGAACTGTATAGTCCTCTCACATCAAAACAACAAGCAGGGTGGTTTCGGAGTCAGAGCTCAACTCCCACTACAGAACTGTGCCACCTTAGTGCAGAGCAACAGAGAAAGCAATGACTCAGTGCTGCGTGTGTGGTGGATCCAAGAGCTCTGGGGGCAGGGATCTACGTACACAGTTTCACAATCAAACAAAGTTTACAACAAAATAAGGTGGTAAACGGAAATGTGCCTGCTAGGAAAGGTAACACATGAAAAGCGTGTGCTTAAGAGGTAGGGAATACCACTATCAAAGGGGCCAAAATGCCAGGGTTCAATCCCAGCAGCACTTGGCATTGATCTGATTTAACTAAGTTCCACAATCTTTCTATGCCTTGGTTTCCCTTGTAAGATGCAGAAGAAGGAAACCCTATGTAAATGACATAATATATGAAAAGCTTAGGACAGGAATGCTGTTATGTGCCGTCGACTCACTTGCGACTCACAGTGACCCTATGTACAGTAAACTCTGCTCTTTCCTGTGCCAATCGCACTGTCTCCAACACACCCATCCCAATTAGCCCAGTCACTGAATCAATCCACCTCAGAAACGGCCTTCCTTTCCTGTGCTGTCCCTCCACCCTCCCAATCATGATGTCCCTTTCCAAGGACCAGTCCCTCCTCACAACATCTCC